CAGGTCAAGGCTACCAATCCTCTCCCCTGTATCCTGTTTCTTCTCTGGCCTTTGTTGCAAGGAGAAAATATTGTGCAGGACTTGGAGAGGCTGCTCTTTTCCTGCCAGGTGCCTTTGCCTTGTGGACTAGTCCTGAGTTCAAGAGGCTCCCTTTAATTAAGTGCCCCTGGGAAATCTGTGACTGGGCTCTGCAGAGAGGGAACCTGTGTTTGGAGCTCAGGATGCACATACCATTTCGTAGCTGATGCAACGTTCCATGCCTCTGTGATCATGGTGCTGGCTGTCCTAGGAATTCTCCATCCTCCACTATCTGCCATGCCATTAGGGTATTTCAGAGTACCTGAATTGTCCCCATTTAATGCTGCATATCCCCTCATTTCTTCCTTGATAACCCTTCTTGCAAGTGGAAAATGAATGATTTCACAGGTGGTGTTACTTGGTGCTTGGGATCTGTTCCACCAGAAAAAGAATTTGACTTCAGTAGGTTATCTCAAAACAATATCTGGAGATGAACCCTCTAGGCAATGAAGTGTTCATTATGTGTTTTCCTTTTTCCTTTTTGGGTGATGAATGGTTATTTCTTATCTCTGAGAACAGACTTTCTGAGTTGAGTGAAAGAATCTAGACAGGGTGAAAATCAGAATTTGGTGACTTGGGAGAGAACTGTAATCAGCATCCTACATACAGCTTATATTGAAATATAATTTGTAATTGCTTATAAATCTTTATATGATGTATAGTTAGAAAATACTCCTAAGTATCTATAGAATGTATAATTACTCAAAGAAAATACATTATGATGCTTAAATTGGAGCCTTCTTTTTTTCAATATGTGCATAGTAATGGACCTTCCCATGATACTGTCAAAATAAGGCATGTATGTACCAGTGCAGCATTAAAGACACACAGACTATTGTAGTCTGCTTTTTTTTCCACAGTCACTGATTTTGGCAAGCTTTGATATACTTTGTTTGATTTTTTTTTTTCAGTTGTATTAAGTAGACTTAAGTTATGAATACTCAATATGACAGATAATGAATTTCAGCTGTTCTCCATGTCATCACTGTGATATCCTGATGAATTGTGTAGGG